ATATAGCCCGAAAAAAACGCACAAGAACCTAGTGATTCCAGCCATGAAAGCCTTCGACAATACATAAGAAAAATTGTAGGTTGGTGAAAAAGAGAAAAAGGCCATCCCAAGGTACATTTTGAAAGAAGCCTTCAGGCAGTATCAAGAAAGATTAAAATGTTTTGGTTGACTTAATTGACCTGACTATTTCATTACTCACATACATGTGGTTAGTTTCAAATAAATGTGCTGGAGGACCTAGAGATTCCTAGAGATAGTATCTTTCTAGGAATCTCAAGTTCTTCTACTGTGATCCTATGATCAGTTTCAACAACATGCTGCAAAATGCAAAGACTGATCCAAGAGAATAGTATTGTACCCAAAGTTGATGCAACCAGCTGTTGATGTTGCAAGGATGTGGTCAGAGTAAACAGGACTGCAAGATATTTTCCTGTTTTGGAAATTCTTCAGTAGTGGTCCTGTGATTAATTAGAAACACACAGCTGCTATAACAAAAACAAATGATTGGGAATATAACAGGCTAACAAATATAAAGAACCATTCAGAAATGTTTGAAAACATAAGCCATGTGTTTTCCATCATCAAAGAGCATTGAAAAGTATTAGGTTGTGGGGACAGAAGAGGTTATTCTAATATCCTGTTATCAAAAGATATTGAGTTTGTGGCTGTTATATATTTTATTCATATCAAAACTGTTATTCCCTCCCTTTTAGTGTCATATTTACCACTCAGGGCAACTAAAGCAATAAAATGGTGCATTGCATTCAATAATAATAGTGAACACAATTTTTATATGTTTTAATGTGCTTTTAATTTTAATTTAGGAGCCCCCGGTGGCACAGTGGGTTAAACTTCTGTGCCAACAAGACTGACGACTGACAGGTGGCAGATTCGAATCCGGGGAGAGCGTGGATGAGCTCCCTCTATCAGCTCCAGCTCTCCATGCAGGGACATGAGAGAAGCCTCCCACAAGGGTGGTAAAACATCAAAACATCCAGGCGTCCCCTGGGCAACATCCTTGCAGATGGCCAATTATCTTACACCAGAAACAACTTGCAGTTATTATTTATTATTATTATTATTATTATTATTATTATTATTATTATTATTATTTAAAACTTTTATATCCCGATCTTCTCAGCCTGAGTCACCTCCGTAGAGGGACTCAGGCTGGCTTACAGCAAGGATTCAATGCTACTAATACAAGTTAAAACATCATAAAACAGTACAAGATTAAAATACATATAGATAAAATATATATATACCAAATCGCCAAGGTAAAATCATGTTCAACTCAGTCCGCATATGTGGTCACTCACTTTGGTCTATAATCAGTCTCAACCATTATTCTGGGAATGCTACGTTCCATAACCAGGATTTCAATAGCCTCCTGAAGGACAAGAGGGAGGGGGCAGATGTAATCTCGCTCAGGAAAGAGTTCTATAGCTGAGGGGCCACCACAGAGAAGGCCCTGTCTCTCATTCCCACCAAACGCGCTTGCGAATGTGGTGGGACCAAGAGCAGGGCCTCTCCGGAAGATCTTAATGTCCTTGATGGTTCATAGGGGAGAATACGTTCGGATAGGTAAACTGGGCCGGAACCGTTTCTCAAGTCGCTCCTGACACGACAAAAAATAATAATAACTTAAGTGTATTTTGTTTGTTGTCCCAAGTCATTGAATAGTTGCCATATGTAAAGCCACCTTGAGTCCTCTTCAGGGTAGAGAAAGGCGGGATACAAATAGAGTAAATAATAAAATACAATAAGAGCATGATATGCAATTTAAAATGGGAGAATTTAGCATTTAGTGAGTTAATCTCTTTGTGTTCTTAAACATTTTTAGCTGAAATTTACTACCTTTGCTGAACTAGAAACTAGTCTGTTGCTGTTAGCAACAGCTTAGCGAGAGAGTTTTCACATAGTTAAAGTGAGGCTTAGCCTTATTTAGTTCACAGCTTTGTTGTCTCTAACAGCATTATTGCACATTCTTTTCCCACAACTAAAATGATAAGCTGCTGTACAAAACGGTGTCACTTTATAAATAAACAGTCTTCAAAGCCTTTTCTTTTGCCACTTGGATGCTGGCATATGGGATTCCCCTAGCAATAGTTTTCCTTGGGGTCTGCGATTATAGGACCTGATGATACAAGCCGAAATAATAATAACAACAATTATAACAACAACAACAGACTACACAGAGAAGCCATTGAAATCCATAAACATGTGGACAATTTTAACAGAAAGGAGGAAACCATGAAAATGAACAAAATCTGGCTACCAGTATTAAAAAAACTCTAAAATTACAACAACAGAACAACAGAGAGGAAACAATCAGGGACAGCTAATCACCTCTCAACAAAAGATTCCCCCAGACATTAACAAGCACACCAAAAAAAAAACTGCCAGACCATCAAATGCTAATCAAGGTGGTCAGTTGAAACATTCACACCTAGCTCCAACAGACAAGAGTTCTTTGTCCCACCCTGGTCATTCCACAAACCCAATTTTCCTAGTTCCAACAGACCTCACTACCTCTGAGGATGCTTTCCATAGATGCAGGCGAAACTTCAGGAGAGAATGCCTCTAGAACATGGCCATATAGCCCGAAAAAACCTACAACAACCCAATACGGTTCATGTTCAGCACTCATCACCTACAACAACCCAATATAATGTTCATTTGTGGGATTAACATAGCTGTGTCCAGGTTGGTTCATCAGGTGCTCTGCTATGGCTGACTTCTCTGGTTGAAGTAGTCTGCAGTGCCTTTCATGTTCCTTGATTCGAGTTTGGGCACTGCATCTGGTGTTCCCACGGCAGACTACTTTCAACCAGAGAACCTGATGAACCAACCTGGACACAGCATATTATTTGAGAACACAGAAATGCTGGACCACTCCAACAACCACCATGTCAAACTACACAGAGAAGCCATTGAAATCCACAAGCATGTGGACAATTTCAACAGAAAGGAAGAAACCACAAAAATGAACCAAACCTGGCTACCAGTATTAAAAAACTCTAAAATTACAACAGCAAAACAGCAGAGAGGAAACAATCTGGGACATCTAATCAAGGTGGTCAGTTGAAACATTCACACCTAGCTCCAGAAGACAAGAGTCCTTTGTCCCACCCTGGTCATTCCACAGATATATAAACCCATTTTCCTAGTTCCAACAGACCTCACTACCTCTGAGGATGCTTGCCACAGATGCAGGTGAAACATCAGGAGAGAATGCCTCTAGAACATGGCCATATAGCCCGAAAAAACCTACAACAACGCAGAACTGACTTAACCTCTTTTACCACATCCTAGTTGTTCTTATTGTATGCTTTCAAGTTGTTTTCTGACTGATGGTGGCCCTAAGGCTATTGTGGGGTTTTCTTGGCAGGATTTGATCAGTGAGGAGGCTTTGACATTTCCTCCATGAGGCTGAGAGTGCGTGACATGTCCAAAGTCAGTTTCCACAGATGAGCAGGAATTCGAACCTTGGTCTCCAGAGTCATACCAACATTCAAGCCACATCATTCTGACTCCTCATAGCACCTTGGACGTTTGTTTTTTTTTTGTTCATGTCAGGAGCGACTTGAAAAACTGCAAGTCACTTCTGGTGTGAGAGACTTGGCCATCTGCAAGGACGTTGCCTGGGTGTTTGATGTTTTACTATTCTGTGGGAGGCTTGTCTCATGTCCCCACATGGGAAGCTATTGCTGAGACAGGAGTTCACCCTGCTCGCTAGATTCGAACTGCCAACCTGTCAGTCAGCAGCCCTGCCGGCACAAGGAATTAAGCCATTGTGCCACCGGGTGCTCCAACCCTGGTCTATAATATAATAGTATAATATTGGAGTGATTTCCAGTTTTTATTGTTGCCAATGCACTATTGCTGGGATGTGCTTGAATGGTTTCTTTATTATAGAATTACAAATGTTTTCTAAGATTTCAAGAGGAAAAAATGTTTACATTTTATTTCAGTAACCTTTGGACTGGTCACCTCAGCTGCCATTTACTCAAATTGCCTAAAGAAATACATTACGGCACTATTTATTTTCACTTTTTAAAGCATGTTTCCATCTCATTAATCATATCAATCTTGCACGGCATCTAGTATTCAATAGCTTTTTAGCTCTTTGGGTATAGAAAGCTCAGATACCTTTTGATGTTGATTCCTAAGTATAAAACAAAGTCCAAAATCCACAAGTAAACATTACTACTATTAAAAGGTATTGAACTGCTTGAGGGCTGGAGGCTGATTTCCCCTGCAGGCTGCACCTAACTATCTGCCCAACAAAAAAAAATCTGTTTACTTTTTAGTATATATAAATAAAATGGTGATACAAAGTTATGTGATGTCACTCCTGATTTGCAAAACCTAACGATCAAATATTGGGAGTCTGAAAACATTGGGCACATTTTTAGTTTCAGAACAGAAATCAAACTAGAAAAAAAAATTAGAGGTTTGGGGGACTAATGCAGGACTTTGGGAGGATTGCATGGCTGGGATTTCAGGCCCTTTGCTTTTTTTTGGCAACTACTATCATCATAGAATCATAGAATCAAAGAGTTGGAAGAGACCTCCTGGGCCATCCAGTCCAACCCCCTGCCAAGAAGCAGGAATATTGCATTCAAATCACCCCTGACAGATGGCCATCCAGCCTCTGTTTAAAAGCTTCCAAAGAAGGAGCCTCCACCACACTCCGGGGCAGAGAGTTCCACTGCTGAACGGCTCTCACAGTCAGGAAGTTCTTATGTTCAGATGGAATCTCCTTTCTTGTAGTTTGAAGCCATTGTTTCGCGTCCTAGTCTCCAGGGAAGCAGAAAATAAGCTTGCTCCCTCCTCCCTGTGGCTTCCTCTCACATATTTATAATGGTATAAAATGTTTTAGTGTTAACAGATTATTTACATGTTTCATTTTTTAGGGTTAGCGATGAGTACAAGTGAAGATTTGTACAAGTGATGATATTCTAATGCAGCGTTGTTGTTTTTTTTTCTCTTTTCAGTGATGCTACAGCCTTTTGACTATGACCCTAATGAGAAAAGTAAACACAAGTTCATGGTTCAGTCGATGTTTACACCCAATGATACTTCAGACATGGAAGCAGTAGTGAGTATTGAAAAATGGCTTATCAAGATGATGAATTTTTTTTCTACATGAGTCATCCTGCCATATGCCTTTTTTTTAAAAAAAAGCACAACGAATTGCTTAAAGTGCAATTATGATAATAGAATGAGACAAGGTTTACTACAAAGGATGTAGATTTTAGGGTGCTAGTGGGACAGAATTTCCAGATAATGAGAATTGTGTTAGACAGTCTCGATACCTTTTAACCAACATCTTTAGTAAGAGGGCAAAACATTTCAGCGTTCATACCAAGGTTTTCTTAGTGCTAGTTGGCACTGAGTTGTGTCTCCTGCATAATAATATTCCTGTTTAACTATATTTGTAGCATTGCAAGATAGCGTAATCTTGTCAAGATCTATGGCCTTAACAGTACTGAATTGGGTGGAGTTTTGTAAAAGATCTTTGTAGTCAAACTGGTGCTATCTCTAGTTTTTCCATGCTCTCGGGTGCCAGAAAGTGTTATCAATACTTATGCTTAATTGTGCACTTGCTATTAGGTGGAGATATCCATGCAGTTTCTGTAGGATGCTGCTAATACTTGCATTCTCAGAGTGATTTACCCTTGGTGGGAGCAACCAACCTGCTGTTTACAGTGTCTAAATTGCTGCTGGGGCACATTGCATACAACCCACAGGCCTAGTGTGATTGGCAAGAGCAAGCTGGTTTGGCTAATCGCACTCCCACTGCATTTTTGCTCTTTAGCACAATCCACTTTTTACAGGAACGGCACTCTTGGGTAACCAGAGCAGTGTCCTATATACTCTGATCATAGGATTGAGTGCCCTATATGTGTGAGCCACTGGATTCTTAATATTTGCCTTTAGATAGCATCTTTGGTACTACAAGGATCTGCAGCATTTTGAAGACTAAACTCATAATTGTTATCCCTTCCCTTTGCCCTTCCCTCTTACTGTAGTTTTCCATGCCAGCTGCCTCTACTGGCATTTCCTTCAGTCAACAGCAGTCATCATCCTCTGCTGCATCCTAGTTTTGGAGCTGTCTCTGCCAAGTGTAGATGTTTAGCACTTCATTGCTAAAGCTTGTGTTAGTTGCACAGCTGTGGAATAGTCCCATGCTTCCTCCCAAAGTTTAAAGCTGGATCAAAGACTGATCATCCCAGAACTATCTGGATAATCCCTTCTGTCATTTTCAGCATTGAGAGGAAGGCTGTCTACTTGTTGCATACTCCAAACTCACCACATCTGCTCACCCACAGAAAGCCTTTGTGGAGAGCAGACTAAGACCCGTCGCAAACTAGGTTCCTGCGGGAGAAAACCTTGCTAGCATGTCCCTGACGTCATGAGCCTCCGCCTCTCGCCCCGCCCCTTTCTCCGCCCCTTTCTCTTTGCCAGCGTGGTTTTTCCTTTGCTAGGGCAGCATTGCCCGCATTTTCTCTCAGTTGGCAGAATTCAACTGAGAGAAAATGCGGGCAATGCTGCCCTAGCAAAGGAAAAACCACGCTAGCAAAGAGAAAGGGGCGGAGAAAGGGGCGGGGAGAGAGGCGCAGGCTCATGACGTCAGGGACATGCTAGCAAGGTTTTCTCCCGCAGGAACCTAGTTTGCGACGGCTCTTATTGGAACCTCTTAATGGCTCCTGTGTAAGATTTTTCATATACTATTTAGAATACTAGGAACCTTACCTATTGATTCAGATGTACAATATACCTTCCAGTTTCATGGGATTAGGTGTACAGCAGTGGCTCAATTGTGACCATGGACCACTTGAACAGGGACCACTCTCCAAAATTAGTACCAAAAGGGTTACGAACCAGTTTTTGGTCAACTTTATATTTGGTTTGGTTATTTGGGGTTCCAATTCAGAAAATTACATTGGATAGCCCACATCAGCACTAGCTTCTGTTACAGAATATATGTGAACCAGTAGTTGCCATCTGCTCGTCCACACAAAACCATATGTAATAATCTAGATCTGATGTGGTTGTAGTAATCTTTCGTGGGTAGTCGGCTTCTCCGCTCCCAACATCCCCATTGCCTCGGCACCATAAGAGGGTTTTGAGAGATAAGTCGCTCTCGTTGCCACGTGGTTTCGAGGAAACAGTGCAGTAATAATGAGATTGCGAAACATTTTTGTGTTCTTGCAGACCACTGGTGGTCCATGGACGAGAGGTTGGGAACCACTGGTTTACAGGATCTCCATGAAATAGGGAAAAGGGGAAATTAGCACCCCCACAAACCTTTGTAACATGAGAAGACATATTTGTAGGTCCTCCAGTGTGGTTCTGTGGTCAACTTCCAATGCTGGAAAACCTATTAATGTCTAGAGAACCAACACAACTTTATGGTCAACTTTTGGCAGAAGTGGGTCACAGAGCTGTCTGGAGGACCTAGGGATTCCTAAAAATAGCAGTCAGATCTGAAAATGATCCCACTTTCAAAAGTTAAAATGTTCAAGTACCAACTGTAGAGTTTTGGTCTTTTTTGTTTAAAGAGGTAGGGAGATAAAAATCCTTTTCAGTGATACAGAGCAATTGTCCTCTGAAAATCTGAACAGATGAAATATCCCACACCAAAATGGGAGCATCTGAAATTGGGAGGGCTTGTATTACTCCTACAAAGATTGCAAGGCAACCTGTTTGAATCAGGAATATACAAGTAGTTCATCTCTGAAATATTATTTAATCCTTCAATTCTGTGTGTTCTAGTGGAAAGAAGCAAAACCAGAAGAACTCATGGATTCAAAACTTAGATGTGTGTTTGAGCTGCCAGCAGAAAACGATAAACCCGTGAGTGTCATTGTAAACGTCTTATATCTATGTACTTGGTGGAACAGGCACTGTGAGTTATTGAAAATCCTGGACTCTTTAGCTGAATTTCCATTTCTCAAACCCCTGTCTATGGTATAGCGTACAGTAGAGTCTCGCTTATCCGACATAAGCAGGCAGGCAGAACGTTGGATAAGCTAAAATGTTGGTTAATAAGGAGGAATTAATGATAAGCCTATTAAACGTCCAATTATGTTATGATTTTACAAATTAAGCACCAAAACATCATGTTTTACAACAAATAAACAGAAAAAGCAGTGCAATACACTGTAATGTTATGTAGTATTTATTGTATTTAGGAATTTAGTGCCAAAACATTGCAGTGTATTGAAACAGCTGTGAATCTGGCAATTCCTCTAGTTTGCCATCATCCTTCCAATGCTAATGCTACAGAAGTCATCCAGTTGCACCAAGAATGGAAAGGAAAAGTGGATAAAAAGACTTTTTAGAAATGGGTGTATATGCCTGGGGCTTTGTCATTTGAGGCATGACTAGTTTTGTTTTCAGAGAAATTGTTTTACCTGTTGCACATTACCTCTGGCACTTTGGTGGGTGGAGAGGCTATAAACAAATATTTTAATAAAATAAATAAATAATCAGATTCAATCAGCCACTGTAATTACCTTTCCTGTTTTTAAAAAGCACAGTGAGGAATGCCAAGGGAGGTACTCTTTTTAAAATCCATTTAACATTCAGATAGTGTTCTCTAATCACACTAATTCCTTGTGAAGAGAACAACTCCTCTGTAAATACCCTGGAAGTGTCCTACACACCCTTCCTCTGGAATGTTTCATTCCTTATCCTTGCAATTTGAGCCATGATACAGAGTTCCTGGGTTAATAGCTAAAAATTAAGAGGTTGTTCCTATTTACTGTTAAGTTTTTAATTGTTATCATTTGTAGGGATTGAAAAAGGGAGAAAAACCAACCAGGGTTCCCACACTTTTTATCAAGGCCCTTTGCTTTCTTAAGTGCTGTTTATAAAAGCTGTATTTTGGACTTAAAATTCCAAGAATCTCCCAACCATGTGACATGACAGTTTTAATGCGCAGACATCTACAAATACTTGTAAGAGCAAAGGCATTCCATTTTTACTGACAGTTTCTAAATACAGTACAGTCTTACTTATCCAACCTTCGCTTATCCAAAAAAAAAAGCCAATGGGATTTTATATCCCTAAAAATTAACACACTGCTTTGGTAGATAGCTTAACATTGAGGCTGAATGTAAAATATAGGTCAGCAGGAGGACATGTAAACCCACCGCCAATCTAGCTGACTTTACTAGGATGTGTATTGGGCCTGCCATTTCCATTTTCTTTCCCTGAGTAGTAAACCAGCTGTTTTCAATTTGGTTAATATGTCGTCCTTAAGTAAATTCTGCAAAGAATTGTTGTCTCCAGTGTTGCGTCGCTTGGAGATGGGTACAGAAACTCTTCAGGCTACTCCCATGTTCTTGCATGCTTTTTTTTAACCCCAGAGAATTAAGTACATCTCACAACAAGAGCCAGTTTGGTAGCCATGGAGGTATTTTTGCAAACCGGTCAGGCTTTAGGGCTGGATAATAGCCAGATAACAAGCAATCAGTAGCATGTGGATGGCACCCCTCCCTAGAATGTCAGACAGCAACCTCTTTCAGCTTGTAGCTGTGCTGGATGGAGCTGATCAGAGTTAGAGTTCAACAACAACTGGTGGGCCAGTCCTAAAGAAGTACTGTATATACTCGGGTATAAGCAGAGTTTTTCAGCCTTTTTTTAGGCTAAAAAAGCCCCCTCGGTTTATATTTGAGTCAAAGTTATTTATCATTTTACTCTGATGTTGTTGTTGTTGTTATTATTATTATTTTCTCTATTATTATTATATTTATTATTTTACTCTTATTATTGTTACTACATTTTCATTATTTTACTCTATTATTGTCATTCTTATTATTTTACTCTATTATTATTATTACATTTATTATTTTACTCTTATTACATTTTCATGATTTTACTCTATTATTATCATTCTTATTGCATTTATTATCTTACTCTATTATTATTACATTTATTATTTTACTCTATTATTACTGGGTTGTAGGTTTTTTCGGGCTATATGGCCATGGTCTAGAGGCATTCTCTCCTGACGTTTCGCCTGCATCTATGGCAAGTATCCTCAGAGGTAGTGAGGTCTGTTGGAACTAGGAAAAAGGGTTTATATATCTGTGGAATGACCAGGGTGGGACAAAGGACTCTTGTCTGCTGGAGATAGGTGTGAATGTTTCAACTGACCACCTTGATTAGCATATAATGGCCTGACAGTGCCTGGAGCAAACTTTTGTTGAGAGGTGATTAGATGTCCTTGTTTGTTTCCTCCATGTTGTTGTGCTGTTGTAATTTTAGAGTTTTTTTTTAATACTGGTAGCCAGATTTTGTTCATTTTCATGGTTTCTCAACCAGAGAAATCAGCCATAGCAGAGCACCTGATGAACCAACCTGGACACAGCATTTATTTGAGAACACAGAAATGCTGGACCACTCTCACAACCACCATGTCAGACTACACAGAGAAGCCATTGAAATCCACAAGCATGTGGACAATTTCAACAGAAAGGAAGAAACCATGAGAATGAACAAAAGTCCTTTGTCCCACCCTGGTCATTCCACAGATATATAAACCCCTTTTCCCCAGTTCCAACAGACCTCATTACCTCTGAGGATGCTTGCTATAGATGCAGGTGAAACATCAGGAGAGAATGCCTCTAGACCATGGCCACATGAAATTTGCCAGTAGCTGCTGCATTTCCATCCTCGGCTTATACTCGAGTCAATACATTTTCCCAGTTTTTTGTGGTAAAATTAGATGCCTTGGCTTATGTTTGGGTCGGCTTATACTCGAGTATATATGGTATTGCATTTCTGTGCCTTAAGAATTTGAGGGAATGGTCATATCTCATGGGATTAACCTTCTTAAAGCTTGAGCGTTCACCTCAATGATGTATTCAATAGTAAGACAGGCTTTCCAGATTAATAAAATACCATTGGACATAATACCCACTTTTACAACAATCCCATCATATTGTAATAAATTCCTGGTAGAAGTCGGAGTGCTAGAGTTTATTCTTTTAAAACTCAAATTAGGGTTGGGTTCTAAATACCTAAGGGAGCATCTCAAAACATAGGCATGGCCTCTTGTTTGGATCTATTCGAATCACTGAGAAATTGCCTTGGGAGTTCCTTTTCACTCTGTCTCTTCTTGTCTTCTAAGTATTATTTTATCTTGAATTTTAGTAATGGCCTCTTAAGCACTGTTTCACTTTTTATATTAGTATCCATGTTACTGTTTATTTTATAGTATTGGATGGGTAACTTAATGTTTATGTAAGGCTCACTAGTTCAATCAATCTCCTTGGAACGAACAGTTAGATTTGGTGCTATAACTTCAATTGTTATAAGCAAGTCTGAGAGCTGTGAATACAACAGTTTTAAGCCCCCATTAAAACACACTTTCTTTTCCTCTCTCAACAGCATGATGTAGAAATAAATAAAATTATATCCACAGCTGCAACAAAGACAGAATCTTCTGTAATGTCAAAATCATTAAGTTCTTCTTTGGATGACAGCGAAGTTAAGAAAGTAATGGAAGAATGTAAGAGGCTTCAGTTCGAGGTTCAGAGGTTACGAGAGGAGAATAAACAGTTGAAGGTACAGTTGGATGGAAATATATACACAGTTCTTTGGCTTTCAGTTATACATTATCTTTATGTGACTATTATATTGTATGTGTTTTAATGTAAACTACTCAGTAGTTTTATTTCTATAATCAGCATAGAAGTAGTGTGGAACCGAATTGCCTTAGTCAACTTTGATGCAATTCTGGACATTACCCGATCAGTGTTTTGACCATTTTGGTCCTTTCCAAGTTTATTTAAGCTAAAACCAGCCTGATAACCACGCTGGAATTTTTTAAAAATGGAAACATCACAACAGCTACTAGAGTTGGGCCCGCATCACTGTTAATGAAAAGATATGTAGTTTTCAGATGGCCATTTTTGTGTAATTTTCAAAAACAGGAAGGGGAAGAGAGACACTAAAAGACCAGTGAAACGAATTCAGAGAGACGATATTTTTGGAAAGAGTTAAGTCCACAAAATACCAGAGGCAGGGGGAACTGTGGCATCCTTTTCTCTTCCCAGCAGAAGAAGCCTCCTCCATTTTTTCTTGGAAAGTTCTCTCCTCCTCCAGAGAGAGCCCTGAGAACTCGCTTTCCCAATAATAATAATAATAATAATAATATTATTTTTTTTATTAAAAATTATATTCCACCCTTCTCACCCCAAAGGGGACTCAGGGCAGAGTACAGCATATATACGGCAAACATTAAATGCTGGGACAAAAAATTCACATATTCATACATAAACATTAAAAAACATTTATCAACATGTTAAAATACACAATTTAAAACTGTCCTAGTCATCCGTGTCAAATCTAATTGGCCTGGTCATCTTTCCTATTTTCGCTTTATTGCCTTGTCCCGAAATTGGTCCCACAGCCAATTTTTTACCATCCTTCTAAAGGACAGGAGGGAGGGGGGCCGACCTGATCTCACCAGGAAGGGAGTTCCATAGCCAGGGAGCAATCACCGAGAAGGCACTGTCTCTTGTCCCCACCGATCACGCCTATGACAATGTCGGGACGGAAAGCAGGGCCTCCTCAGAGGATCTTAATCTCCGCAATAGTACATAGAGGGAGATGCGTTCCGACAGGTAATTTGGGTCGGGGCCGTTTAGGGCTTTATAGGCCAAAGCCAGCACTTTGAATTGTGCCCCATAGCAAACTGGCAACCAGTGGAGCTGGCATAACATAATTGTAATTATAATTATAATCTGTACTTATACAACTCCACCATCTCATCAAAGGGGACTCGGGGCGGCTTACATGAGGCCAAGCCCGACAATACGTAACAACAAAATACAGAACAGCAAAAAATATCACTAGCACTAGCATAGGGCCATTGAAAGTTCCTCTCAGAGCATGATGGGAGTTAAAGTTTTTCTCTCTGTGTCTCTCAGCCAATAAAAAGCCTGGTGGTGTCCATGCTCTGATTGGCTGAGAATGGGCACAACCAGCAACTATAATTCCCAGAACTCTCTCTTGCAGTTTGCCTTATTTTATAAAATATTAGGTTTAAATCTTAAAATAATTCTAAAAATCAGTAGATTGGTGAATTGCTTTGAAACTTCACAGGCCTGCAGTTGTAAATGGAGTCTGCAACTGGAGTAGGTTTAATGCAGAAAGGCCTTAAAGCAGGGGTCCTCAAACTTTTTAAACAGAGGGCCAGGTCACAGTCCCTCAAACTGTTGGAGGGCCGGATTATAATTTGGAAAAAAACATGAATGAATTCCTATGCACACTTGCACATACCTTATCTGTAGTGCAAAAACACTTAAAAACAATACAATAATTAAAATGAATAACAATTTTAACAAATATAAACTTACTAGTATTTCAATGGGAAGTGTGGGCCTGCTTTTGGCTGATGAGATAGGGTTGCTGTTGTTGTGTGCTTTCAAGTCATTTCAGACATAGGTTGACCCTGAGCAAGGGCTGGGTAAATGATCTTGGAGGGCCGAATCAGGCCCTCGGACCTTAAAGTGACTGGGGATTGAGCCTTTAAAGTTTCCCATTGTAGCCAATGGGCTGAAGCTCTGCCAAATGAAACGGAAAACACCTCTCCCTTTTCAGCTAACTTTCTGGTAAACCAAATGAGGGATCAGATGGAAACGGATCTGAAATTGTATGCCTTTTGGCTCAAATGTACATGACTAACAGCTACTTACTATAAACAGTGCTACTCTTTCATGCACACAACCTTTTCCCAGACTGTGCTTTGAGCCGGTCATGAGAGTTACTGTTAGAAAGAGAACCCTTGCTCTCAATCCAGATTTCTAGCACCACCAGCTCAAGTAGACCTGAGCTCCCAACAATCATCATGGCTCATTGCGGTTTGTTTAATTAACTTTCCTGCAGGAAGAAGATGGGCTACGGATGAGGAAGGCTCCCCAGACAAACCATCCAACCTTTGCTTCGGCCGCGGCTGTGAAGGAGGAGGGCCTCAGCACTAGACTACTCGCGCTGGTGGTTTTGTTCTTTATTGTTGGCGTAATTATAGGGAAAATTGCCTTGTAGAGGCCGCATGCTGAGGATTGTAAATTGGATTGATGGATCTGCCATATCATTGGATTAAATTTATTCATAACAAAAAATGTTTTAAAAAAATGTATGACATCTCACAGGTCTTGCCTTTTAAATTTTTATCCCCTGCACAAATATAACATTAACATTAACATAATCTTCTAGAAAAAAAAGTTTTACAAAAAATGTTCAAGGAGCAAGCAGGAGAAGAGAGGGTGGTTATCTTGATTGTGAGCAATGAGGAAGAAATCATGTATTTAACACTAATGGTGCATTCTTTAGAAGGAAAAAAAGGTAAACATTTCTGGGACTTTGGTACCTATTATTGGAATTCTCTTCTTTGGAGGCAGAACAATATTCCTCCACTGTTATTTTTAGAGGGTGGCTTGGGCGTACAAGGTAGAAAGCTCTCTATAAAATAGATTAACCCATCATTCTTCTTCGTAAACGTCCGGTGAGTATGACTCAGGTCTCAGAATCTTAGCTGTGTGACTCTGACTCTCCCAACAGCTATTGATCTCTGTTGGAGCTTCAAGCATGACCCTGCCTCTCTGGGCCCTGCACCATATGCAGGGACTGCGAACTACTCACAATGGAAGATTAGGATTTTGGGGATAAAAAGAGCAGGTTTGGTGCCCTGGAAAGGAATCAATGGCACCAGTGCTTCTAAGAAGAGCAGATGGTGTTTCTGTGGTTGGTCCCAGCCAATCCCTGTACAGAATGGGTATAACGAAAAGCTTCTGGTAGTTTTGGAGCTTCCTAGGAGTGGGGAGCCAGAGAAATTGAAGGGAGAAATCAGCTGCATGCTTCCTTCCCTCTTGTCAATGAAATAGTGGGGGGAACCTAGTGGATAGTGGTGGGTTGGAAACATCAGGGTGCCTCTTTTCCATAGCCCAGCTTGATGCGCTTGTTGCATTAGGGTGCTCCAAGTTGGACTGGAAATGTGGGTTCAGTATCGCCAGGCTTTGTAGGGGAAAGGAGCATTGTATCAGGTCATCTTAAATCGGTTAAAATGGCTGACCTCTGCCCCATCTGTTTTCCAGTCCAGATGGCACTCTGTAAATGGGGACCATGTGCTTTTCCCACTTTATCCCATCACATTAGTTTTTGCAACACCTTGTTCGTCCCATCCTCCAAGAGACCCTTTCCTCTTTAGTACTTGCACCCACAGCAAATTGTCACAGGCTTAGGCACACACCGCAGTTTGTGTGCTTTGTGTGCGTTCGTGTGTGTTCTATGTAACATTGTTTGCCCCTCTTCATCCATTGCAGTCTGCCAAAGCTTTTCCTGATCAGGAAATAAAGTCCTGTCAGATGTGTCTGTCTCTAGTGGGACAGGACAATTTCTCAGTAGCCCTGGTAGAGAGGGAGAAAAATAAATAAATTTCTCTCTTCACCCATCATCTGTTTAGGGGTGCCTTTTGGGTGAAATTGTGTACAGGAGATAGCATCTCTCAGATTGCAGTTGCTCGTGGAAAAGAGACGAGAATTTAGGGGTGCACGCTTGGAAGAACGTCTGGCAGCATAGAGATTTATATACAGGAGAGTAGGCTTATACACCCAGTTTTGTGATGTCTCATATTGTCTTCAGCTTAATGGATGATCTGGATGCTTTGAGCGTGAAGGAATATGCACAAACCGAACACAGCCCCACTGCAAGATTGAAAGGTACCGCTTGGCAGTCACCTGTGTCTCAGGTTGAATGGAAGGAGAGCTGATGCTTTGCTCTTCTAAAAGGGGACCAACCTACCATTGCTGTCGGTTCATGTAGCTGAGTTAAGACTCACATGCCCATCCATTTAATGCATATTTAACTTATTTAATGTATTTCATCTCAGTGTTTTCTTTATTGTCATGGAAAATTTGGCTACTGTTATAAATGGTTAAAGCGAAAAGAGTGGGGAAAAGCACCTGTTCAAAGTTTGATGGAAAGAGCATTTCTTTTTTCTTTTTCTTGCTGTAGTGGTGATGGATTCTTCTGCCTCCTGATACTTTGGGCACCACATAATTCTCAGTTTTCATCATCTAAACATTGGGGGAAACTGCAGTCAGGAAGCTGTTTTGTATATAAAATAAGTCTATGTAGGGGAAAAATTAGTAGGAATTAGTTCTATGCTGTTAAAAATAAAATAAAAGACCAATCCTGTTTGACTATGTAGCATCTTTAAAATAATCAAATAAATCTACCCCCAAATTGAGTATTTGTCTTTGTTTGATTCTATGTTGCAGTCTTCATAAAAGAAAAAAAAGGAACTTTCCAATGTACAAGACATTTCATTTCTTAGTTTTGATAACCAGTTCTCATGTTTTTTATGTTATTTGCAACCCGTAACATTGAAATGGTTGTAAAGAAGTAAAGAAGTAGTGTTCTTTGTTTTTGAATACGTTTTGCAACATACAGGCATCCCTTTGCTGTTTTCCTCTCTGACTTAATTTTTTTATTATAACAATATCAGCTAGAACAGTGGTTTCCAACCTGTGTTGGAAAAACGAAAATATGGTCCGCAGCCTCACCATTGCTACACCATTGTCTCGAAATCACACGGCAACGAGAGCGACTGTTCTTGTGAAATTCTCTTATTATGCCAAGGCAAGAGGGAGGTCTGCAGGGGAGAGGCTGACTACTCAGAAAACATTACTAACACCACATCAGCTCTATATTATTAAGTACAGTTTTATGTGGGCAAGCAGATGGCGACTACTGGATGGCATATGTTCTGTATCAGAAACTAGAGTTGATGTTGTCTATCCAATGGAATTTTCTGAATCAGCACCCCAAATAACCAAACTGAATCTAAAGTTGACCAAAAACTGATTTGTAACCCCTTTGGTACTAATATTGGAGAATGGTCCCTAGTCAACAAAAGGTTGGGAACAACTGAGCTAGAATGACCACTGCCATGCCAGTAGGGGGAATTCAGAGGGAGTTGTACAAAAATCTCAATTTCCTAGTTCAGCTGTTCACTGCAGTTGCAACAAGCAGCTCTACTTTCCTATATCATTCCCATCTGCCCATCATTATCTATCAAAAGGCAAGGCTCTTAAGGTGACATTTTGGACTTACACAACATGGTATGCTGGAGTATTAAAGAAAAACTTATCCCCTGATATTTCTTTCATTCAGCACTTAAAATGTAAAGGGTACCTTAAAATGTATTACCACTCACACCTTATGTCAAACAAAGACTCAGTTTTAAGATCCTGCTATCAGTGAAAGATGTGTACTCTCGATATTTCCATTACTTACTAATTATCCTAAGACTTGGTAAGTTTCTACTTGTATATGACTACCTGTTCTGTAGTCATACAAGTTATATTAGTGTCCCAGTAGTGACTTCCTTTAGAATAATGTCACAAATGTAAAGTTTCCCTTGACAGTTAGTCTCCGACTCTGGGGTGTGGTGCTCCTCTCCATTTCTAAGCTGAAGTGCCGGCGTTATCTGTAGATACTTCCAAGGTCATGTGATCAGCATGACTGCATGGATCACCATTACCTTCCCGCAGAAGCGGTACTTATTGATCTCACATTTGCATGTTTTCAAACTGCTAGATTGGCAGAATCTGGGGCAAACAGCAGGAGCTCACCCCTCTCCTAGGATTAGAACTCCCAACCTTTTGGTCAGCAAGTTCAGCAGCTCAGTGGTTTAACCCACTGTGCCATCAGGGAGCCCTAAATGTTACTAAACCTAGATGTTATTAGATACTCAAATGCAACTCTCCATGACCATTGATCATGCTGGCAGGGCTTATGGGAATTTAAGTCCAACAATGGAAAGAGCAGCTTTAGAAACACACTGTTCACTTACATTAGGGTGAGAAAGTCTTATAAAGGCCTCATAAATACAACAAAGGCATCAAATTTTGGAAAGAAAGTAAGATCATGCCTAGCTAGTACTTGTATGATGGACCACTAAGGAATCACAAGGACAGTAGGTTATATTTCACAGCCAGGCAATGACAAACTACTGAGTAAACCGGTGACTTGAAGATTTGTAGGATCTACTTACTGAAAAGTGCCACGATCTAGGTGCAAAATGGAGGGGCAATGGTTGTTTCTTCACCAAAAAAAAAAATCTCCAAATCTAAATTAAAACAATATGTTGGTCCACATATTATTATTATTATTATTAATTATATATATATATATATATATATATATATATATATCCTAATTTTAAAAGTTTTTAAAACTTAGTGCTGAATTACTCCTGGGAATTGACTATACTGTTTCATAACATGTAAGCATTACACCAGATTGCATTCTATTTATTGAGTATGCCACAGATTTAAGTGTTCAGTGTAAAGTTACATCAAGGATGGTTTTATGCTTCCAGATACACATGTCCATAGTTTATGACACTACCGTTTTAGAGAGGAAAATAAAAAGAAGTTCAAAGGAATGTGAATTTATTTTTGCAAGAATTAATTATATGCATCTGGTTTCTGTTTACAGACACAGCACATATGTTACCGTTCTTGTTTCTGGTAAATTTGTGGTACGGTTTTTATTCTTATGGATGTCATAGAGAGGCCCTCTGAAGCACTGCTTTGCCTATCTGCTTTTAATAATGGTTTAATGTATGTCTGTGTGGAAACAATTTTACTTTTGGATCAAAACCTGAGAACCTAGAAATATTTTCTTCTGTTGGAAGAAAAATAGCATGCAACACTTCCTTCCCCTCACTCCTTGATAATCCTATTGAACTCTTTCCCCCAGAAAGGTGGCCAAGGTGGTTCAGAATTATGCTTGTGGGCTTCATGGCATTTAGAGTAGTCAGCATTCATATATGTAGATAATTTCGGCCATTGTCCCATCTGGTTTCTGACATATATGCCAAAACCACATATATCAACAAAACCAAAGTGCTGTTCCAGCAGTCACTAGCCAATCCCTCTGCAATGTCAGAAATATTGACCATTAGAAAATGTTGACCATTTCCGCTACCTTGGCAGCCACCTCTCCACAAAAGTCAACATTGACACTGAAATACAACACTGCCTGAGCTCTGCAAGTGCAGCATTTTTCCAAATGAAGCAGAGTGTTTGAGGACCAGGACATCCGTAGGGATACCAAGATGCTGGTTTATAAAGCTATTGTCCTCCTGACCCTACTATATGCCTGTGAGACGTGGACTGTCTACAGACGTCACATACAACTCCTGGAATGATTCCATCAGCACTGCCTCTGGAAAATCCTGCAAATCTCTTGGGAAGACAAGCGGACAAATGTCAGCATGCTGAAAGAAGCAAAAACCACCAGCATTGAAGCGATGGTCCTCCGCCATCAACTCCGCTGGACCGGCCATGTTGTCTGGATGCCTGACCACCGTCTCCCAAAGCAGTTGCTCTACTCCGAACTCAAGAACGGAAAACGGAATGTTGGTGGACAGGAAAAGAGATTTAAAGATGGGCTCAAAGCCAACCTTAAAAACTCTGGCATAGACACTGAGAACTGGGAAGCCCTGGCCCTTGAGCGCTCCAGCTGGAGGTCAGCTGTGACCAGCAGTGCTGTAGAATTTGAAGAGGCACAAATGGAGGGCGAAAGAGAAACGTGCCAAGAGGAAGGTGTGTCAAACCAACCCCGACTGGGACCGCCTTCCACCTGGAAACCAATGCCCTCACTGCGGGAGATGCAGATCAAGAATAGGGCTCCACAGTCACCTGTGGGCCCACCACTAGTACACTGATCCTGGAAGACTATACTACTCTGACAACGAGGGATCGCTTAAGTAAGTAAAGTATATGCCAAGTGGCTACACCTCTATTCTTTGTATTTGAACTTCTCTTGAACCTTCCTTTATTGTTATGTCTCATGGGCCATCCAGTCCAACCTCCTGCCAAGAAGCAGGAATGTTGTGGTCATATCCAACTTGTGGCTTCCGTCTTTGCCCAATTTTGGACCAGCTGGCCTTTGGTCTGATACAGCAGGGCTGCTCTTAAGAGCTGGGCACCACACCTGTTCTTGTTACATTAGCACATATTGTTACATTAGCACAGTGCAAAATGCTGAGATAAAAAAAGATGTCTAATGTGTGTGGAGAATTTCAACTTTGAGATCCTGGAAAGTATACAATTATGGTAACTACAACATTAGATCGGTGTTGCCTTAGGTAAAGGTAAAGTTTTCCCCTGACATTAAGTCTAGTCGAGCCCAACTCTGGGGGTTGGTGCTCATCATTTCCAAGGTGAAGAGCCAGCATTGTCTGTAGACACCTCCAAAGCCATGTAGCTGGCATGATTGCATGGGGTGCTGTTAATTCCCGCAGAAGCAGTACCTACTGATCTCACATTTGCATGTTTGCGAACTGCTAGGTTGGCAGAAGCTGGACCTAACAGCGGGAGCTCACCCTGCTATTATTCACACTGCCAACCTTGCCTTACTTTATTTACAATATCCTTTTGATAGAAGGGCATGTGAATCTTCTGCACACAAAGTGCATATTTTATCACAGCGAAAACCAGCAGGTATCCTCCAATTTCTAATATCTGTTACTCAAATGAGAATTTCACAAAGCCATACCAGAAAACCAGACTTTGTTGGTTGCCCCATTCGTGTCTTTAAAAAGGCAAGTGTGGGTACTCCTTCGATTACACAAGAGATTATAACCAAAGCAGGATATTTGTAAAAGATAAGCACCTGTTTTATGTACATGATTTTTTTAAAAAAAAACTAACATACTGTAATACATTTTGTTTAAAAACTGTACATTAAAATGAGCATTACATCTGAATTTGTTGTTCATGCAGATTGCCCACCAGTATAATAAAATCCCATTAAGTTATCTACAGATTAGCCACAATCTTGAAAACATACCATGTAAATTATGGCACTTTGTATAGCTGTTCTTTTAAAAAGGGTTTTAGCGTTTGGAAGAGCATACTTTCCATTGCAGCTCGTTTATGCAGAAATATAGGAAACTGCCTTACTTTACAGTTTAAGAAGAGGCTGTGCTTGACATACAATCCTACACATATCCTGATAGGAAGACAGTTTTTACTCAATTGCAGGCTATAGGAAGGGGAGGTTTGTTCCGTCTCCCTCCTTTTGCAAACTATCCCAACCTAGGCAATCCCTGCAGATAGCCATGGAAGACAAGGTCCCATGGATGCCAATGCAAGCTTTTTCCTATTAAGTAAAGGTAAAGGTTTCCCCTTGACATTGTCTAGTCGTGTCCGACTCTGTGGGGTGGTGTTCATCTCCTTTTCTAACCTGAAGAGCTGGCGTCCGTAGACACCTCCGAGGTCATGTGGCCAGCATGACTCCATGGAGAGCTGTTGCTTTCCTGCCAGAACGGTACCTACATACATTTGCATGTTTTAGAACTGCAAGGTTGGCAGAAGCTGGGGCTAACAGCAAGAGTTCACCCTGCTCCCCGGATTCAAACCGCTTTTGGTCAGCAAGTTCAGCAGCTCAACAGTTTAACCTGCTGTGTCACCAGGGGGCCCTTTTTCCTATTACTATTTGCAATCTGGAAAGGAATTTCTGTTGGAAATATGGTAGGTAAAAAGGCATCAAACAGCACTTTCCCATACATTACCCATTCTATAATTCTCCACCCTTATGGCACTGCATGATATTGGACTTTAATGCACCATTCTGCATATATTATCCTGAGTTATTTTCATTGATCATGTATCTAAAAATGTTGATGTACATACATCTTACAGGAAAAAACAAAACAGGAATGCACTTTTTGCTAACTATACTGGAGCTGTACCACCAAAATGAAATTCTTAACTGATACTCTGAAATTGCATTTTTCCCCAGTTGCCAAAGGCTGTGTGCTTCAGAGTTAACTCAATTCAGTGTTGCTTTGTTGACTGGTTAAGAAAGACAAATGATGCCAGAAAACCTCATAATGGGGATATTTTTCACAGCAGATTGAGAGAGAGAGAGCAGGAAAATGTTGTAAACAAGTGCCTATCTGAACATTTTCCTTGTTTACTAACATGGAAATAAGTTTCTTACACATTATTGGAATAGAGAGGAGTTACTTTCAATCATGGCTACTTATCCTGCGGTCCTCCGGCTTTGTTGGACTGCAAAACCCATCAGTCTTAGCCCACATTCAAGGATATGCAGACAAACAATATATGTAGGGGTAGCAGTTGCCCACCTTGCTTTAAATGCTCACCTGTAGTAAATACCAGGATCTTGTTTTAGCAATGGAGGGAGTCAGGTGTTAACTAGAATTGTAGTGTATAGGAATGGAAGTTATACTCCTTTCCTCCCCTCCTAGAAAATGTCGTCCCACCCTGCAGATAGTAATAGAAGGCAAGGTCCTAGTGATGCCGATGCAAAGTGGGCTTTTCCTGTTTTCAATAGCAGAGGGGATACTTTTGTTGAATCATGGTGGGTGAGAATGGCTCAAACTCCCCTTCTCCACATATTGTCATCATAATAGTTCTCCTGTCCCTGGTAAAATTCCATGTTGCTGCTGCAGCAGCAAAAAAAAAAAATCCCTTTGAAATAGTCATCTTTAGACTTTATCAAATGGCACCACATTAGTAACACACATACAGTGGGGGGGGGGGGGTATTTAGTCAGATACCAATTATACAAGTTCTCCCACTTAAAAAGATGAGAGAGGCTTGTAATTGACATCATAGGTAGACCTCAACTATGAGAGACAGCATGAGAAGACACATCCAGAAAATCACATTGTCCGATTTTTATCAAATTTATTTGCAAATGATGGTGGAAAATAAGTATTTGGTCACCTACAAACAAGCAAGATTTCTGGGTCTAACATACAGGCTCCTCTGTCCTTCACTCATTACCTGTAGTAATGGCACCTATTTGAATTTGTTCTCAGTATAAAAGACACCTGTCCACAACCTCAAGCAGTCCCACTCTAAACTCCACTATGGTGAAGGCCAAAGAGCTGTCGAAGGAAACAAAATTGTCGCCATGCACCAGACTGGGAAGACTGAATCTGCAATAGGCAAGCAGCTTGGTGTGAAGAAATCAACTATGGGAGCAATAATTAGAAAATGGAAGAGATACAAGACCACTGATAATCTCCCTCGATCTGGGGCTCCACGCAAGATCTCACCCTGTGGGGTCAAAATGATCACAAGAACGGTGAGCAAAAATCCCAGAACCACACTGGGAACCTACTGAATGACCTGCAGAGAGCTGGGACCAACGTCACAAAGGCTACTATCAGTAACACACTATGCCACCATAGTGAAAAATGAATGGGGCCATGTATCGTGAGATTTTGAGTGCAAACCTCCTTCCATCAGCAATGGCACTGAAGATGAAAGGTTGCTGGGTCTTTCAGCATGACAATGATCTCAAGCACACCGTCAGGGCAACGAAGGAGTGGCTTAGTAAGAAGTATTTCAAGGTCCTGGAGTGGCCTTGCCAGTCTCCAGATCTCAACCCTACAGAAAACCTTTGGAGGGAGTTGAAAGTCCATGTTGCCCAGCAACAGCCCTAAAACTTCACTGCTCTTGAGGAGATCTGCATGGAGGAATGGATCAACAGACCAACCACAGTGTATGCCAACCTTGTGAGGACTTACATAAAATGTTTGACCTCTGTCATTGTCAATAAAGGATATATAACGAAGTATTGAGATGAACTTTTGTTATGGACCAAATACTTATTTTCCACCATAATTTGCATATAAATTAATTAAAAGCCAGACAATGTGATTTTCTGGATGGCTTTTCTCATGTTGTCTCTCATAGTTGATGTTAATTACAGGCCTCTCTCATCTTTTAAAATGGGAGAACTTGTACAATTGGTATCTGACTAAATACTTTTTTTCCTCACTGTATGCAAGTTTGTCAAACATGCTTGGGAATACCAGCAGCTACTTTTCTGCAGCAGCAGCAACAACAAGGGCCCTTAAGCAATGAATGATTATTAACACTATGATTCCACTTCAACTGCCATGTTTACATCCTAGGGAATCCTGTGATTTACAGCTGGTTGAGACACTACAGCAATCTAGCTGAGGTTTTTAAATGCCCCTTCCTAAACTGAAAAAAACCCGAGATTTTACAGGATACAGACATGGCAGTTAAAGCGGAATAATAGTGCTATAATTGTGTAGTGGGGAAGGGGGTCAGGTGGTTAACCATTTGTCCTTCACTTGTGCAAGCCTGTCTTTACTTGGGCAAACTTGTGCAAGCCTATCTTAAATCATAAGAAAATTTTAAAGGGATGTCTTATTACAGTTGAGTCTTAAGAGTTTGAAAAATAAGTCTCCCATTAATACAGCATTCCAACACTGCCTGTTCAGGCTAAAAAAATTTTTTCCCTAGCTTCATGGGGGCACACATCTGTTTCCTTACAACTCCCCACCACCACCTTACAAGATAAGTATTCTTAATGTATGCACACATCTCACAGATGACATGCTATGAAATCTGAACCCCAAACACTTTAATCCCAACAGGTCCCTTTTTAGCAGTTGTTAATTATATATATTGATTACAAGTGTATTTATACCAAATACCAAAGAGCAACCTTGAGTGACTTTGAAATGTCAATTTACTCTCTAAAAGAAGAATTGCTTTTCTATGCAGAATGATTTGGCTAGGGGAGAGGGAACAGGGGGGGGGGGGCATGAAGGTCTCCCCTACCCCTCTAGAATTAGGTAATTGTATGTGATTAATAAAATATAGGCCACCTATTTAAAAAGCTGACCACTTTGCTCTGCTGGAAACTGGCTGAAATCCTGCAATAGGGTTGCATAGAGTAAATCTCATGCAGCATTGCATAGCAATCAGGCCACACATCTCTTGAGTTGAATGGCAACAATGCACAACTGAACCAAAGCACCAAGTGCACACTCATGTGGATGACGTCAAAATATGATGAACATGCTCATCTGTGCACAACGCACACTGATGTGAAACTGAGCACCTGAAAATTTGAACTGAAAATGGCTATTCCACTTTGGACATAGAAGTCCAACCACAGCAGAACTTGCAATTATGTTAAGACACCTAATAGGATTCTGTCCCATAAATGTCAGATTTGAAGGTGGGTGTCAATACTTAGGGAAGTTTCTCTGTCATTCAGCAGTCATCAAGAAAGCATAATGTGCATATTTATGAGTATGGAGTAAAACAGCTTCCAAATGTGCTAATTTTTGGTGTAGATATACCACTGTTACAATGTTCTAGGCAGCTCACTCACTTGGCCTTTAGTCCCATCTGACCAGCTGTATAGAGAGAAATGCAAGCAATGACAACTGGGGTAGTGTTTTCGCTGCTCCACTACCAACATCATCACTTAATCTTCTCAGAAAGTTTGACTTGCTGAGTTTTGCCAAGGCTGCCGATGGTCCACCACATTGGAGGAGAGGAGACTGGTAAGATGTGGGCCTCTTGCTGGGCGTATTAGGACTTGACCCATCAGTTGGTCTCTCACCAATGTAGAGCAAGCTGCGGTCTTTGGCATCATGTTCAATTCGAAAGAGTTCATACTCCATATGGGGGAGCCTGATCCCCAAAGCTGCACATCCATTTGTGTGAGTCACATCCATTTCCTCCCCAATATGCCACAAGCCAGCCTCCCCGCAGCTCCCAAAGTCAGAGGAGTTCAGCATTGTCACTGTTATTTGATCCATTGGTGTCACCCGAGCATGGGTCACCTTGAAAACCAGCTCGGTGCCTCCCCTCACAATGAGGGATGGTGCTCCCTGTGTGTAGTGACCCAAGGCATACACTGTGAAAGTTGGCTGTTTGCAGAGAGGGTCAGAGTAGTGGTGGTAGTAGCCTTCCCAGGTGCGGTTGTGACCATGGAAGATGAAATACCTAGTGAGGAAAAGCACAGCTGGGCGGACTTCGCACCGTGAGCTGACCCAGCGGCCAGTCAGCAGCATCGGGAGTTCAGGTTTCTCTGGTAGGAGAGGTGGGTGGTGTTCATCCGCTCTGTATACAATCCCACAGGCAGGACAAGGGTGGATGTGGTGCTGAAAAAGGAAAGAAGAAGGCAAGTCCTCAACACTTTCTTTATGTACATATTAATACAGACAGTTCCCAGGTTACAAAAATAGGTTCTGTAGGTTTGTCCTTAAATTGAATTTGCACATCGGAACAGGTATATTTTTTAAATGTAACGCCAGAGAGAGAGAGAGAGAGAGAGCTCTGGATAGCATAGAGAAGGGCTAACTTTCCTGTAGTGTTTGTTTTGCTGTCTGTGCCCTTGTTCAGAAGATTTCACCTCAAAGGAAAAATACAATTTGCAATGAAGGAGGTGCAATGTGACCTGAGTTTTCTATAGTCTACTTGTTAAAGAAGGAAAAGCTGGAATAGTAGATTAGAATGCTGGAAATTAGTTGGGAGTTTTGGAACAAAAGCAGTTAAAAAGAAAGTAAAGCAATATATATCCCTCCCTAATTTTATCAATTTGTTAGAACACACTTTTCCTTTTATTCCACCTACCGCTAAAACTGGTTCCCAACCTGTGGTCCATGGACCACCAGTGGTCCGCAAGAACTAAAATATTGTCCATGGCCTTACCATTACTACACAGTTGCAACGAGAGTGATTGGTCTTGTGAAACCTTCTTCTAGTGCAGAGACTTATTACATATGGTTTTCAGTGGGTGAGCAGAGTGTGACTATCGGATGGCATATATTCTGTATCAGAAACTAGAGCTGATGTTGTCTATCCAATGCAGTTTTATGAATTGGCCACCCAAATATGCCAACAAAATCTAAAGCTGACCAAAAACTGATTTGTAACCCTTTTGGTACTAATGTTGGAGAGTGGTCCCTGGTCAAAAAAAGGTTGGGAACCACTGCTCTAAGCTATAGTGTGAGTCTGGAAACTTGATAGAAAGAAGCCAAGATGAGATTCTTATGATTCTGACATACTTCATACTAGAAATGTTGTACCCTGTTTCAGCAAAAACATATCCCAGTTCTAAATGAAGTGAACACAGCCCAACAATTTTCTCTAATTTAGGATAAAAACTACATGGAAGTGGTGGCACAGTGCACGTAAGAGAAGTGCAGCAGTGGTTTATAGAGAACAGAAATTTCATGTTCAGACTCAAAATTTCGTGGTTTGTTTAGTGGTATATAGAAACCATTCCATACAAGGAGTTTAATGTTAAAGAAACCCATGTATTTTGCACTGACACACAGCAGGATCACATAACTGATCATGTATTTGAAAAAAAATCATCCAAAATGTTTCTGGTCAGCGTTAACATATTCCCATACTAATTGCAGATATAAACAACCTAAGTATTTACCGTGAACTGTATCTGTTTTCATATGCCAAGGCTTTTACAGGTGGTCAGTTTTTGAGAGATGCCAGTCATGTTTGCATGGGAATGACATTTAAGTAACCATAGTTAATAGTATGGAGGGGAAGTCACATGTGTAGTGATTGAAGTTTGCAGTAATTCGACCATTTTCAGTCCTCCTTACCACAACTGTCACTCTAAGGAGTGCTGATGGTACACAGTGCATTACAACTAAATGTTCCCAGCAGTTACTGAAATATGTACATTCTTTTTAAAGCAGGAAATACTTTAATAATGAGAGATAATTTTCCAAGAGTCGTTTTCTTTTTAAAACAGAGACAGATTTGCGGGAAATCAAAAAGGTTCTTTTGTACAGACAGAATATTTTAGGAGGAGGGATGGCATAGCAGTGAGAAAAGCAACTTCTACAGCTCATGGCTGCTTTGGATACACAAGCCACTAACTCTGATTTTCTGATGCATCTCTTCATTTTGAGTACACTGCCTCTCTATATAGGTTATACAGAAAAAGTTATGAAAAGAGAACAGTATTAAAGACTTGAGTCTCTTGGCTTTTATATCAACATATACGCAACTGGTTTACCCTCAGCTTCTATTGAGCCTTCTACTGGACTTCTGTTGTGCTTTTGACTGTTTCGGCAGCACCTCTATGGCAACATTTCTCAACCTGGAGGTCGGGACTCCGGGGAGGGGGGTCACAAGAGGGTGTCAAAGGGGTTGACACCATCAGAAAACACAGTATTTGCTGTTGGTCATGGGGGTTCTGTGTGGGAAGTTTGGCCCAATTCTATCGTTGGTGGGGTTCAGAATGTTCTTTGATTGTAGGTGAACTATAAATCCCAGCAACGACAACTCCCAAATTTCAAGCTCTATTTTCCCCAAACACCACTAGTGTTCACATTTGGGCATATTCATGCCAAGTTTGGTCCAGATCCATCATTGTTTGAGTTCACAGTGCTCTCTGGATGTAGGTGAACTACAACTCCAAAACTCAAGGTCAATGCCCACCAAACCCTTCCAGTATTTTCTGTTGGTCATGGGAGTTCTGTGTGGCAAGTTTGGTTTGATTCCATTTCTGGTGGAGTTCAGAATGCTCTTTGATTGTAGGTTAACTATTAATCCCAGCAACTACAACTCCCAAATGACAAAATCAATCCCCAATCCCACCAGTATTCAAATTTGGGCATATTGGGTGTTTGTGCCAAATTTGGTCCAGTGAATGAAAATAAATCCTCTATATCAGATATTTACACTGCAATTCATAACAATAGCAAAATGATAGTTGTGAAGTAGCAACAAAAATAATGTTATGGTTGGGGGGGGGGGTGTCACCATAACATGAGGAACTGTATTAAAGGCTTCACAGCATTAGGAAGGTTGAGAACCACTGCTCTATGGTGGTCTTAAGCAAGGGATTTTTGTTGCTCAGTTAGATTTTTTAAATTATGTGGATTGTTGAAGTGACATACAAAAGCATATTTTTCCATTTGAGGGATGGTGTCCTTCCATTTTTCCAAAGCAAGTGTCCAGCTCCTGTGGATTCATGCTTTTGATCTTCCAATGAATAGACACTGGCACCAGCCCTTCCTCTGAATTGTTGGTGCATTCAAGGGGCTTCAAGAGTGATGAGCCTGAGAACACATCAATCTGCCTTGGTCTTGTTGGGGATAAGCCCGGTATTGCCCACACTGACTGTCGGTGGCTATTCAGAGTTTCAGACCAGGGTCTTTCTCAGTCCACTTTGGAAATGCCATGGATTAAATCTGAAGCCTCCTGCTGATAAATAGAGTACTGTATAACTAAACTACCAGTCTTTCCCTAAAGGTTGGTGGTGATCAAAAACAATGACTAGCTATGAAATGATGCCAAAATTTCCTCCTCGTATCCAAAAATCTCACACACGTTCACTTAAATGAAGCACTTTTGAAGGATCCAAATGACAGTGTCTAACTTTCCCCAGGCAGTGATATCATCTGTGTAGGACTGCTAGCTGATTCATTGCAACAGTACAGTGAAGTCACTATTTCACACACCTCAGCGTGGTTTTAAATTAATTTTAGAAAGCATTCAATGTTTATCATCTGGTTTTGCTCATACATACATGGATTTGGCACAAAAAACACTCTACTTTAATGCCACATTGAGCGTATATTTTGGAGGGCGAGTTTGGATGGATGTGTGTTCATTCATTCATTCTCTTTTTCTAGAACTCCAATGGTTGCAATATTGCAGGGGGGAAACCTGCCCCTTGACTTCTTTCTCTTCCTAACTGGTAACAAGTCATGAGCATTTTTCTGCTATTGTTCACAGTCCTATCATGGAGTGCAATCATATTTCTAAATTGATTAGTTATGGTTTTGATAAAAATACACTCTGGGAAAGAAACCAAGCTCCTGTCCAAAAAAAACAAAACCCCAACAACAAAAAACAAAACAAAGACCTCATATTTCAGCTGAAACATTCGAGTTTCTGTCTATCCTAAATCTGCTACCGATAATTACATTCAGGGTCATTTCCTTTGATAATGGCATTCTGCTGAAGGATAATAGTATTTTGGATATCCTTTATTGCTCTTGTTTTTTTATATGGAGGACTAGAATTAAAATATATAAAAATATGAAGTATCTGCCAGACAGAGCATTAGATAAATAATAGCGTCCACTCTTCCCATCCCCCACCTTAAAAATCTTTGTATTGTTGTCATATGGAATATCTATATCTCACTGTTCTGAAAATGTCTGCAGTATTTTCTCCTGCTCTGTTGGGACACCAAGAATGGGCATATCCACACTAAGCTTGTTGAGAAGAGTGGGCTTCTACACCAACAATATTTTCATTTAGAAAAAACCATAGCAAATTCAACATTTTAGGCTTGGAAAAAAAATCTGTTTTCTTTCTGGCCTCCTATTAATCTAGAAGATAAATGTATTTATCATAAGATATGGGGGAAAGTCTTAGCACAGCAAGTTAACCACCAGCTGCAGTAAATCTTGCCAACCGAAAGGTTGATAGTTTGAAGCCTGGGTCAGAGTGGGCAGTTTTGAAAACAGCTATGTAGGTAGATAAATAGGTACAACTTAATCAGGGAGGTATTTAAGGCACCTATAAGGAAATGCCAGAAAAATGCTGGTGATTCAATCAAGAAGAAAGTTTATGAACAAAACATTTTTGACCGGGAAAGTGGAAGCGACAGCACGCCCAGTGGGCAGAACCAAGCACAGCCTCCAAGGTGCCGAAGATGGGAAAAGCCTATATATGTGTACAGTTGCCTGTCTTGTCAGTGTGTAACAGCATTGAATGTTTGCTGTATATGTGTTCTGGGATCTGCTCCGAGTCCCCTTCAAGGTGAGAAGGGGGAATATAAATACTGCAAATAAATAAATAAATAAATAAATAGTGAGAAATTAATATCCTGAAAGAAACTAATTTTGAATGCTGACTCCAGAAATCTCCTTTTATTTGAAACCACTGATGTGTGCAGAATCGATGAAACTACTTTTAGCATATGCTATTTTGCTCTTTGACTGCTTTTTTTCCACCACTGTTATGGATGTATAAAAGGAAGATACAATTCCCTGTGGGTTTGTTGGAAGATGCAGTAGCCTGCATCCTCTCACTTCTGTATCCTCTGGGCCAGTGTTTCCCAAACTGCTCTTTCCAGGTATTTTGGACTTCAGTTTCCAAAATCCCTGGTCATTAGCCAAGACAGCAGAGACTTCTGGGATCCAAAACAACTGGAGGACTAGAATTAGGACATCTGCTCTGAACAACTACCCAAATCCACAACTCTAGGAAACATGGGTAATGTCTTGTTTCCCTGCAGCTCTGCCCTCGCAACAAACCTCTGGAAAAGGGATTCTGTTGAGGGAAGGGAAGGTACACTCCCAGCATGTCATATTTTCCATCACGGTTTTTTTTCATGTCAGGAGTGACTTGAGAAACTGCAAGTTGCGTCTGGTGTAAGAGAATTGGCTGTCTGCAAGGATGTTGCCCAGAGGATGCCTGGATGTTTTACCATCCTGTAGAAGGCTTCTCTCATGTCCCCACATGGGAAGCTGGAACTGACAGATGGGAGCTCACCCTGCTCCCTGGATTCGATCCGCTGACCTTTCAGTCAGCAGTTCAGCCAGCACAAGTGTTTAACCCATTGCGCACTGGGGGTGCAATGGGTTAAACTCTTGTGGTGACTGATTAATTTGGCAATATTGGAAACTCTCAAAATGACCAGAGAGACAGCTTCCCCCTTTTAGGCTATGTCTCAGCTATCCTTAGGGAGCCCCCGGTGGCACAGTGGGTTAAACCCCTGTGTCGGCAGGACTGAAGACCAACAGGTTGCACGTTCGAATCTGGAGAGAGGCGGATGAGCTCCCTCTATCAGCTCCAACTCTGAATGCGGGGACATGAGAGAAGCCTCCCAGAAGGATGATAAAACATCAAATCATCCTGGCATTCCCCTGGGCAACGTCCTTGCAGATGGCCAATTCTCTCACACCAGAAGTGACCTGCAGTTTGTTTGGGGTTTTTTTGACACAACAAAAAAAAAAGCTATCTTTGGGTCTACAGCTTATCTACCTTAGAATGTTAGTTTTCTAGAAAACATATATATATTGTATTGCAGTCCAAATACAAAACATCCCCTCAGCTATCATTTTGCTTTCCTTTTTTCTGTATTTTTCCGCACAGAACAACCATGTGATATTAACTTGTTGAGATAGTAATATTTTAGATTGCAAGCTGCCAGTTTCACTAAGTTCTAATTTTCCAGCACTCCTTCTAGTAACCTAAGCACATGGAGTTTTTCACGTGTCTCCAAAAAGTCTTGGCTGCATTCCAAGGCAGTAGAACCCATCTCATGATTAAGCTGAATGCATTGATCAGTCCTTCCAACCTGGCACTAAGCAAAGAGCCTATTGTATATATTCATGTATATGTCTTCAAATTTTACTCAAAAAATTCAACCCAGAAAACCTGCATCAAAATATTGTATCTCGATGCTTATAATTATTAAAAAAAACCTTAACGATCCCTTTCTCTAAGTACAATGATCAAAAGTGAGAAAACCCTTTGCTAGCAGACAGAGCCCCATTTTCAATAAGCTATACTCTTACCATGGCATTCTGGAGGGGACGCTGGTATCCTGTGGGCCGATAATGGAGTCTTTCGGACCACTCAGTATGGATGTCCCCGAGATACAGTTCTTCCACCTCTCCATTTCCTTGGTTCTGCTGGAGGAACAGTGGTGGCTGGTACTTTTCCACTCGCACAAGGCTAAGTTCATGCATGGCAAAGCCAAGGCCTGAGGTGCAGTCTCGTCCCGCTTTAGCACTCAGAAGCTCATACAGCGCTCCAGGAGCCCAGGTCCGCCCAGCTGGCAGGAACTCACTGCAATGCTCTCCTGAACTCTGGTTGATGCGGGCAACTGTTTCCCACATGGCCCTCTGGCTATGAAAGACAATGCCAACTTTGTGAAGGTGGTAATCTGCTTCCGTAGCTCCCCGAGTGATCCAGGAGGCTTGGCGGAGCCTGATTTTGCCTTTGATGACCAAGGAGTAGTTGGGGTCCTGACAGGCAGGGTCGCGGTAGTAGAACTGATATGCTTTGAAGAGGCGGTTGGGGAAAAACATGTATGACCTGGTGAGGAATTCAGGTCCTGGACGTACTTCGCATCTGAAAGCAAGGAGAAAAGTTTTTGTTGCACCAATGTAGTACCAATGTGTTCAAGATCACATCAGGCCTTGTGATGTTTAGGTCAATACCCATGACTCAGGGACAGCCACTGGGAATGCCAATAATAATAATAATAATAATAATAATAATAATAATAATAATAATAATAATCCAGACATCATGATTGTGGAAAATAAAAAAAAGTTTGGATTATTGATGTCACCATACCAGGTGACAGCCGAATTGACAAAAAACAACAGGAAAAACTCAGCTGTTATCAAGACCTCAAAATCGAACTGCAAAGGCTCTGGTGTAAACCAGTACAGGTGGTACCTGTGGTCATCGGCACACTGGGTGCCTTGCCAAAGGATGTCAGCCGGAATTTGGAAACAATAAACATTGACAAAATCATGATCTGTCAACTGCAAAAGGCCACCTGACTTGGATCTGCGCACATCATTTGAAAATACATCACACAGTCCTAGACGCTTGGGAAGTGTTCAACTTAATGATTTTATGATATGAAATCCAGCATATAGATCTTGTTTGCTGTGACATACTGTGTTTTTGTGTCAGTAAAATAATAATAATAATACTTTATTTATATCCCGCCACCATTTCCCCAAAGGGACTTGAGGCGGCTTACAAAAAGCACTCAATAGTGCAGCAACACACAAAATGCAACAAGGTATGTGGACATATAAATCAATAACAAAGTAAATTTACATGGCAATATTTGCATAAAACAACATACAAAACCCTATAGATTTAAAACACAACATAACGCAGATGTAAACAGGCAATGTACAATATCAGTCCCATAAAGTGCTAACGTGAATCAATCACTAGGCAATAAGCATTATCTATCTGGTATTACCTCAACTGATACTTTCAAATAATGGCTCTCATAGTCTCTGCTTATAAGTAATGTATCAACAATTCAGCAGACAGAAACCAGAAAGAAGGTCATTGTAAATGGAATGGGTACATCTTCCAACTCAGAACTGGCTGGATTACCAATTTGGAGCGCGTTTTAGTCCAAATATAATTAAAAACTAAAGCGTTATTTGCTGCCCTTCAAATTGCTCTTCAACAGAAGAAAGAATAGTTTTGTAACTATTGGTCAAAGCCAACACTTACAATTAAGCATGTAAGAGCTGGTATGCCTTCAAGACCAACAATTTCTTAGTACACTTGCAAGGATCCCTGCATATTGCTATTTGCGCCAACCTTCTTACCCTGTTGAAACCCAAAGACCATCCAACCGGGGAGGCAGAAGAGCTGAAATCCTAGCACCATCCTGAAGATGCCGCAATTGGTACTGGCACTGTGGCTCCCAATGCAATTTTACTGGTCCGTTCTGGTCCACCTGAGATGTGGGGACATCCCATAGCTTCTTTCCAGAGGCATATGCTGTAAAGAGAAATCAGATGTTTTTAATATGGTCACAGATGCTCTCAAGCATGAAGGTATTTCTATAGATTTTTAATGCGCCAAATACTTTGCAAGTTTATAATCTTTGTCTTGGCTTTAGTAAAGGGATTTATAAGGTATACTAGCTATGTCCATTTTATAGTTCGGCACAGAGAAGAAGTAACTGCGGCTTGCCTGCAAAAGATACTGAAGGCTACAATATTTAATCGGCTTTTGAAATGCAGAACAAATTGCATTTCAAAAGCTGATTAAACCAAGTTTAATAACAACATTTACAAAGCTGCAGATGATACATGTCATCTTTTCTCTGACACAACTGATATGTCTAATGGCACTGATCACAACAAATGAGACATTATCTAAAACAACCAATTTATGTTTGATTTGCCTCCCATTTTAATGTCTCTTAGATGTTTTGAACTTCAGTTCCTGGCATCCCTAACTGTGGACCATGCTAGCTGGGGATGATGAGAAGTGAAATCCAAAATATGTAGACAGACTCAGGATGGTGAAAGCAGTTCTAAAAATAAAGGCAGTAAACCTGTATAGGAACAACATCAACAGCAACTACAACTACAACAAATGTATTAACGCAACATTTCGCCTACCCTCTTACATCAAGCCTGCCTCTTTCCAGCAACAGACATTCATAGTTTTGTGCATTCTATGGCCCTTGGCATACTTGTATTCTCACTGTGCAGAGCTTCCTTGCCCTAGTGGTTTTACAGAAAATTGACACATCCTTTGACCCTTTGTCCCAACTGGAATATAGTTACAGTGGGAGGACAAAATGATGACACTGGCTGCATCTACACTGACCATTTAATGCAGTTTGAGACTTGCTCCAAACAGCAGTAGCTAGACAATAATCTCCCACAAAAGTGTTCCTACATTAAGAAAACCCTTAATGCTCAGTGCTCTGTGGTTTGTATCATCACTATCCAGGCCTCAAACTGGTTCCAGGATTTCCTATATAATCATCTGCACAGCGAAATCACTTTCTTCAATACCAGTTTGAAACTGACTTAAGTGGTCAGTGCAGATGTGAAATATTTCAGTTGAACATTTAGAAATGTGGTTTATACCAGCACCAAATAATTTTCAAGTTTATCTTTGGTTTAGTTACTTTCTCTTTGGTTTAGTTACTAAAACGTATTGCATATAAAGCTTAAAAATGATTTGTTTCACTTGCAATCACAGAACTCTGGTTGAGAAAACCTTTCTTAGGCAGTCAAAGAAAAGGAATAGTCAAAGTTACCAAGTGAATACAAATATATATAAATATTATATATATCATATGTAATACAAATCATCCCTTATCTAGAATTCCAAAATCCAAAAATATTTCAGAATCTAAAGCTGTCCATATGGATGGTTGAAATACTGACACTTTTGCTTTCAGGTTGCTCATTGTACGCATACTTTGTTTCATTCACAACATTTGGAAAACATTTGTACAAAATTACCTTCAAGCTATGTGTATAAGTTGTATATGAAACATAAATGAGTTTCATATTTAGATTTGGGTCCCATCTTCAAGATACCTCCTTATGTACATATAATGAAGTATTCCAAAACCCACACTGGCTCTCTATAAATAAATATCAAATACAGTAAAGTCTTGCTTATCTGACATAAACAGGCCAGCAGAATGTCCGATAAACAAAAATGTTAGATAATATGGAGTCTCCTATTGTTACCGGTCAAACGCAGTGCTAGAGACACCTAGAATACTAAGAACACGGACTCAAAGGGTGAAGGTAAGGCAACACCTTGGGGCTAGAGTGGCCCAGCAGGAAGTGCCCGGATGCAGAAGAGGAGCGTGGAAATCACAAAGGGAAGAAGGGAGGATGCTTCCGCTTCTGGTCCTGCCTCTTCCCCCCTCCCTCTCCTCCCTCCTCCTCCTCCTTCTCCTCTAGCCTTTTTCACTTATTGGAAATGGAGAGAGAGTTGGAGAGCGCTCCTTTAATTGAAGGGGAAATGCTGGAGGAAAAGAGAGGCATCGGATAAGAGCGTCGGATAAGATGGAATGTCAGATAAGCGAAGGTTGGATAAGTGAGGCTCTACTGTATCATGTATCTCAGTATATGTTATGAAATAAAGCTTTTGAATTAAGAAAAATTCTGCATTAGGCAGAATGGATGTATTAAAGACTCAATGTATATAAGAACCACTTGAAAAGTGTCCAGAAAACTCCAGCTTGCATTCATTTCTGGGTCTCCCCTAGCTCTACCTCAAACCAGTTCTCCTCTCCCTCCACAATGTTACTACTGAGGGGCAACAGGGAAATAGCAACACAGGGAATGTTAAAGGTTTCCTGTTGCCCTTTTACAAGGACAGTAATCTTGTCACTTACCTCATTTCCCATAGCAGCGGATGTTATTGGCTTAGGCAATGGGAAAACATGTAGCCAGATGAAGTTACATATATCAGTCATTTCAAAATTCAACCTGAATTCTGTAGGTGCTTTTCAATGGAGGAGATATACCCCAAGCCTTAAACGCCTTAGGACTTTCCCCCCTGAAAATCTGGCAAGCCTTCATATCATGGCTTTTGGCTATTCGAGCTAACCTCCACTTCCATTTTGTTTTCAAAAGCCTCAAGAGGGAATCAATGTGGAACACACAGTAATGGCCTTAAACTAGAGGGGGAATAATGACGTCCCTCTTTGCTTATAAATCTTGTAGGGTGGTCTGCCCTGCAGCATGTAAAGCATTCTCTTCAATCTTCAATGTGCCACCACATTGGAATAATATAAAATGAGGCATAATAACAGCTAGATCTTGAGAATATTCTCCTCCTTAATGATGGGATTTCTTTATACTATGTACAACCTTTCACTGAGGACTTCTGGCCAACTTGGTGTCCTCTAAAAATGTTGGACAGCACAAACCGCCTTGAGTCACCGATAAGGCTGAGAAAGGTAAATAAATAGTAAATAATAAATAAATATTTATTATTTATTTATTGTAAATAAATAGTAAATAATAAATAATAGGAGCAATAACTGAGTCAGTCTAGATCAGTGGTTCTCAACCTGTGGGTCCCCAGGTGTTTTGGCTGACAACTCCCAGAAATCCCAGCCAGTTTACCAGCTGTTAGGATTTCTGGGAGTTGAAGGCCAAAACATCTGGGGACCCATAGGTTGAGAACCAATGATGTAGAAAGTGAATTGAAGGAGGTTATTTCGAGAGATCACAGTATAGTTTTGCTTGATATTATTTGTTTCCAATTGAATGTAAAGTGGTGACCAATGCCAGACAGGAAAAGAGAGCTTCCACCACAGGACAGAAGGTTCTCAGATTTCCCATCTTCAGTTGTTGAATTCCCTACAGTAAGTTCCTTGTGGTAGTTCAGTTTTCCTTAGACTAATACAGCCATGAGATCTGCAAGTATCACAACATTACCTACCACAATGTTACCTACCATATTGCACATAGCATTTTCTGCCTTAAGTTTCATCAATACTGAAGAATTAATGCAGTCTGACACCAATTTAAATGTCATGGCTCACTGTATGGAGGTGAAAAAGTAACTTTTTAAAGCTCTGGGATGAAACTGTGTTTTTGCAAGATTCTGTCATGATTCTAGATAAAGCATGGGTGGACTTAAGGCTGTCCAGATATGGCTGGTTTACAATTCCCCAACATCCTACATTGTTGACTATGCTGGGTTGAGCTGATGGGAAGTGCAGTCCAACAACATCTGGAGGGCTACATGGTTTCCATTCTTACTCTAGATTTTGGTTAACACTGGGATGTTGCTACCATGTCAGAATTCAATCTGACCATGGTTTGGTGTTTCCTTTCCCAATACAATTCATAATCCCACCCCCACCCCATATATTGCAAAGAACCATGCAGAATACTCACTGCAGGATACCTGATTGCATCTTTCCCCACCTGAAAGATCTGGCTTCAGAAGTTAATCATGTCTCCCCTTGACACTGATGTTATTCTCTCTAGGTTTATCTGGGGCTGCTGGTAGGCTACAACCCAGCAATCGGCAGTGAGCATTTCCAACCCACCTGCCATTGTAAATTACCTACAACACAGTGTCATTCCAAGTCATTGCCCACCAGAGAGTAATTTTTCACATTGCAATGTCAGGGGTACTGCAATGTGATTTGCAGCTGCCTAACAATTTGGCCTAACGAATGCCTAAGTGTTAGCATTAGCCCTAAATAGGCCATAAATCTATGCAAAAACATTCCTTTATTTATGAGTAAAATAACATCTCCCTACAAACAGTTTAAAAATGAGTAAGAATATACGGCATTAAGGGACCAGAGTCTTAGTGTTTACATCAGCACAAACACACTTTAATCAGTGCAGTTGTTCCAGATGTCTACTGATAATGGCTTAGCAATCAACTACGTGCATGCAAAATATATTCAAACCAATGTGCGGTAATTATTATGTCTTCTTATGTCTGCGCTGATGTTACAGATACTTTCCCAAGCTAATTGCTATGTCTGAAACATCAAAAAGATGGGAGAAAGGGACTTTCCTTCTCCTTTGGATCCAATATAAGACCATGCACAGACATGCATAAAATAAAATTCTGATTAGTAAGATACTTCGAGAATTATACATTTCACAGGGCCAACCCTGGCTGACTCAGATGATAGGAAATGTTCCCAAGCATTTCAACCTGTCAGAGAATAGAGGGTTTCAATTCAACTTCTCATAGGCTTCCTCTACACTGCCATATAATTGAGTTCAAGTGCATTATTTGACAGTGTAGACTCATATAATATAGTTCAATGCAGTTGAACTGCATTATGAAACAGCATTATATGGCAGTGTAGATGGGGCCAGAGACAAAAATGTCTGCTAGGATGTGACAAAAGGAAAGAAATAGTTTTGTGAAGAACATGGCTTGAGAGGTAGACATTCATGTACATATAGACTTAGCTATGGTGGCCCAAGCCTTGGTTACATCCCACTTAGATTATTGTAATGGGCTCTATATGGGGC